GACTTAGAATAAACACAAATTAAATATCAATGTTAAAATTTAATATCTTTTTTTATAGGGTGAAATATTAGTCCCGCGCGCACACATATATATATATATATATATATATATATATATATATATATATATATATGCACGCGTGTTCCGTGCACACACGCGTATTAATCCGCATCGCAAACCGCTTTAACGAAGCTTGCTTGGACGAAGTTGCGACTTATCGGTACGCGTCTTATCGACGCGTTGCTCGGCACAGAGTTACGGTGTCGAGTTACGGTGTACAAGGGATGACGACTTAAACACAGATTATCTCTTGCAGAAGCGATGTAAGATTAATAATTCTCTCGCGTGCGCGTGGGGGGGGGGGGGGGGGGGGTGGGCGAAGAGGTGGAAAACCGCGACGCGCGGGGCGGCGGCGGGAGAGGAAGATCCGAACCGCGGTAAGCGCGATAATTAGCGGCAATTAGCCGCGTAATCTACCGTGCATCTTGCTTACGTGGAGTTACGGTGTCGAGTTACGGTGTACAAGGGATGACGACTTAAACACAGATTATCTCTTGCAGAAGCGATGTAAGATTAATAATTCTCTCGCGTGCGCGTGTTCGGAGAGAGGAAGAGTTGGGAGATGGGAGAAAAGAAGTACTATAGATTGCGGTTTCCCTAGAGAAGATGATAAAATAACACGGGGCGAGATGAGATCTCTTTAGCTGATTAACTTCGTGTTAATTCTTTGATTTAATTTTATTCGTTTCTCTCTACTATTTTTTATGTGCGCATTTACTAACAAGTGATTTATGTACGGGAGGTCTCCCCCATTGCAAATTCCATTTTTTTATATATTTCTGAAAAAAAAAAAAAAAAAAATTATGCAGATTAATTTTGAATTTTTTTTCTACTGTTTTTATTATTTCATATTTTTTCATCTGTGTTTTTTTATTGCTGCAAATTCGCGTTAGAGCTCGTTATTTCATTTACACATGTGTACATTATGATCAGTTTAATTGTTCTATTTAACATTCCACCGCTCTATTTTACTTCTATTTAGTTTTTTATCCTGTAATCGCTTCTTGGCGTAGTCGATAACTACGATATTACCTAGACGAGGTAGCATTTTCCGCGTAATAAGACTCCATTAAAATCTTTATTTAAAATTCAATAACATTAAACGCTTTCAGTCCCGCCGGATATAGCGGATATAACGGATGGAGTTAAAGCGAGTAATAAAAGTGACAGGAAACGATTTGGAAATGGATGTGTTATCGCGCAAAAAACCGTTTACGCGATACTCTGCGAATATTGATAATTTCTACAATGCGCAAATTCCAATCGATATACAATGGTAATTTACACTATCATTTTTCTACCTGCATCTTTCCCACCTGAAAACTCGCGTTTGGATTCAGCTAACAAGGGACAAAAACCGTTACACTTCTCGCTGTAACAACAAGTAGCGCGTAATCAATTCTTACGCTCTCGCTCAGCTTTCCGAGAGTATATGGCGAGACAAAGAGGCGATATCTAGCGACGGAGATAACATCTTCGCGACGCGAATCCGCTCCTGTACAGCACACACCGCGAAGCCGTTCTTAAGGTAAAGCTAAGGAAAGAAGGAACACGGAGCTTACCCTCTCCCCCTCTCCTCCCTCCCCCCGTTACCCCTGACAGGAGCTTCGCCGTGCCTTTGAATAAATGATGGGGATATATTTACGGCGAGCAGTTTTAAATAAATTACAACTGCGGGGAGACGGCGACGGGATATCTTCTTCCTGCCGTTTCTTCTTTACCTTCTCCCTCGACCCTCTTCGTCGTCGTCCCCTCCCTCCCCTTCTTTCCACCCCCTACGCTATCCTCTTCGTCATCCCCGCCGTCTAACGCGCATCCCGCTGTATTACGCGTCTCAGCAATGTTTTTCGGCATTTTTTGTTCCTGGCCTGGCCTCGATCCGCAGAGAGAGAGAGAGAGAGAGAGCCCATCGTCTCGAGGATTATAAACGAATGCTGCGTCCTCGCGGAAAGAGAGAATCGCGAGCGGGATAGATCGCCCCCTTTTTGATTCCTCGAACGTGCCCGGCTCCCCTTCTCTCTCCCCATCTGCCTTTATCCGATGTCGCGACTTTCGTAGAAATATTTCATGCGGCAGAAACTTTTTCGATGTACGTGCGTACTATAAATTTCTCAAACATTGGTGATATGATAAATAGATTGCGCGTATTAAGCAAATGAATATATTTATTTTGTAATAGGAAATAGAAGTAAAAAAAAATCTTTGTTTTATCACGGGTAGAAAATTATATTCACAGTTAAGTTTATTAATTGTGACGCGAGTATGTGGACAAAAAGTCAACACGACGTTCATTCTTGACAACGTGCGCGATATCATACTAGTGTGACACCAATTTTCCTACAACTGTCGATAACTTCGAAACTTTAATCCACTTGCTCCCAGAATTGCGACATCAACCATGCCCGCTGGAAAACGTCGCCAGCCCTTTAACCTTTTTACCCGTTGCAAACTCTTTAGCCCCCTCGTCGCGTCTCGACGTTTCCTCTCGACATGCGAGTCGTAAATGCGAGATGCCATCCAGTTTCACGAGACAAAGCTTCAGAGGGAAAACTGACGCTCCCCTCTTCCCTCTCTCTCTCCCTCTCTCTTTGCTTCGCCATAGAAGTGGAAGTTACAGTTTAACGAGGCGACGATTATCGCGATTATACGAGTGGCTATGATGACGACGACACTCGCGGAAGAGGCTAGCGGGGGAGGAAAAGGGGAGGGAGATCTAGATGCGGCTTTACCGGTGGACGGCGCGCCGTCACGAGAAGTGGTTTAATGGCGCGTATCGAGCATCCGGCCGGCATGTTCAGCGGCGCTTGCACCCGTTTGCTCGCTGAAATCGCCCGGGAGTTTATAAGGGGGAAAGGAGAGGAAGATAAAAGAGAGAGGGAGAGAAGTTGAGAAAGAAGGAGGAGGATATTTCCTAAAGACGTAAATACAAACGAAGCTTAAGAGCTCACCTCTCGGCGGGCGGTCCGAGACCCCCCGCGGTGCTCGGTGGCGGCGGTGGCGCCCTTATGGGGGTCGGCGGTGGCGTCGAGACGCCACCCAGGGACGGCTGACTCGGCTGGGGCCGGGGGCTGACCGAGGCGGAAGTCGTGCTGGGACTCCTGGAGCCGCCACCGCCGACGCCGCCGCCGCTACCGCCACCGCCACCGCTACCGCCGATGCCTTCCGCCACGGCGTCCTCCATGTCGGCGGCGCTGCTGCTCGTTGTGGTGCCCTCCGGATCGTTCCCCGTGGGGCTCGGGCCCGCCGACGATGACGTCGGCGCGATCAAAGCGGAGGATTCCGCGTTACCGCCGCCGCCACTGCCACCCCCGCCCTCGCGTTTGCGTTGCTCCTCCTTCAGTCGCTCGCTCTTACGCCATTTCGCTCGTCGATTTTGGAACCATACCTGGAAATTACAATGTGGCTACGGTTAAAAAAGAAATTAATATTTAAGAATAGAGATAACGTTAGAACAGAGATAGATACTTTTAAACTTTAGAGGATTGGGAAGGCATTATTTTTTGACGAAAAAGTGTCTGTGCTTTTTCAATCGAGTTATAGTGAATTAATTTTTCTAAAGACTTTCTTTTCCTACATAGAAAATTAATACATCCTACTAATATTTAATCCGTTGATGAGTTGTCCAACTCTCTCATTATTAATATCGATATATCGATATATATAAATGTCGCAGAAATATTTTTTACTCATTTAACATTCAGTATAATATGCAGCATATTTTGCTCCTTTATTTTATATTCCACGTTTTTAATATATTTCATATATCTGTTCTACAATATAATTTCCGAATTATAAACTAAATGTGAATAGATCATACCGCGATATATACATCCACAGAGAAGTTAAATTTCTCAAAAGCCAACTTGGCGGAAGTTTGCATAATTCGTTGATTCAATACTCCCAACGTTTCAATCGAATATGACTATGCACGACGAAAAACGACGAGAGACAGAAGGAGAGGAGAAAAATGAGACGGTCGGTCGTATCTACCTACGCCACTTCGCAATGTCCGCAAATGTGCAAGGATAATTGCATGCACGGAGTGGTGACATTCTGAGGCAGAGGAAAGCACGAGGGTGTCCGAGAGGTTGGACGGTGGAGGATTGAAGGGAGGGGACCGGGGGCACTTTCCGCCGTGCATGTTCAACGAGCCGACAGCAACCACGGCGGCCGAGTGTTTTTTAAAAAGCTCGAGTTCCGCTAACGAGGCTAACTTGACATAATACCGGCTGAAATAGACTTTATTATATCCAGCGGTTCTCCGCCGCTAACGTCGACTTCTGTCCCGCAACATCGTATGTGTAATAACCGAGTTTTCACGCGGACAAATCTTCATATAGCCTATTAATGAAAGAACGTTACTTATAATCAGAGATATCACTCTGTTAAATGCCGAAAAATCGATTAAGAAAATTTATCACATACGGAGGGAGTCCGTTTTACAATACACAAAGTACTGTTTCATGAAGGAAAGAAAAAAATGTAACATTAATTTGTTTTTAAATAATTTCGCATATAATTCTCGAGAAAAATTATTTTAAAAATAAAAAACTATGTATGCAACATTTTTAAAAAAGAATACAAACTGTATATTAAGTTGAGAAAGTTAAAGGAAAAAAATCTTTAGCAGAAAGATAGTATCGGCACATCTTGTATAATGGGTCTGGAAAATGATTATCTTACATTCGAGCGCGGAACTTTCGCGGGAGGAGAGGAGCTCGGAAAATGGTTTAATAAAATAAATACGATAGGTACGACTCTCTCTACCGCCTCGAACATCGCGAGGAAGTGGAAGATGATGGCAGACGGGGAGATATAATAATATCCTAAGGGTTACAGGGGGGGGGGGGGAGTAAAAG